GGCAGAATTGGGGTCAAGGGAGGGGCACCCCGGCCACGGCAGGTGCGGGCCGAGCCTGGGTTCGGACTGCCCCTCATCCAGCTCATCCTCTCCTGGCTGTGGCAGGTCCCCGGGTGGGTTCCCTGTGCCTCTGCGCAGCGCTAAATAGGCTGCCACACAGCCGCGCAGCTTACAGGGAATTTGGGCACTGATTAGGATTCCTAGGTGTGACTATAATAGAAATAATTATAAATGGCTTTACAGACCCTGAAAGATCATCTTTTAAACAGTACATAAATATCTCTTGCAACTAAATTTCATTTGTAACTACAGCTAGTTCAACTCAGAACTGAGGAACTTGTTGTTCTGCCTATCCTCAAATTTTGCAGATTTACACTCAGTTGATGTTTTGGCAGCTGGCCAAAGAAGTAACCTAAAATGTCTTTACTTTTTTCAGTCTTCATTCTTTGTCTCAGGAAGGGAGCTTTGTTAAATACCATACTCAGTGGGCAAGTGATTGCAATCTCTTTGGACAAGATTATACTTCTTGTTAAATTAGATTTACTATGCTTGTGCCTTGATGACCTTAAGCTAGAACCCATCTCTGTTGGGAGAACTCATTTTAGAGTCTGTTAGAATGGAGTTCATTTCAGTGCACCTTTCTAATTTAAAGGAATTCTGGTTAACAATAATTTACTCAATTGTTTTCATTGTGAGAAAGAAAATGGACATTTTTAGACCTTCTGCCCTTGACGGACAATACAGCAGCAATGTTCTATATCAACAAGTAGGGGGGTGTATGCTCCTCTCCCCTGTCCCAGGAAGTCCTCATGCTGTGGGACTTCTGTGTAGAACATTCAGTTGTACCTCCCTGGGGTACAGAACAAGCTGGCAGACCACCTCAGCAGGTTGTTTCACAGCCACGAGTGGTCCCTTTGCCCGGACGTTGCCCGGACGTTGCAATTTTAATCTTCCAGAGTTGGGACCTTCTGCCCTTGACCTGTTGAGGCTGAATTCCTTTAGTAGAAGTATCAATGTTAAAGTGGAGAGGAGTATCGGCACAGTTGTCCATCCTGGGAGAGTTATGTTACTGGACTAAATAAGCCTTTCTGAATTGTACATTTAACTAGTTGGGACGGGTGTGGATTTTTGATGTAACTACATTACATACAAAATCATACATTTTAAATTTGTAGTTTGTTTAAATGAAAAATGGGTCCATATTCAATCAGAAAACTTCTAATTTTTAAAAAATGTGGTTTTTAGGCACAGAAGCAACATGTTCTTTGTATCCCTATGACTTAAAAGAAAGACAAGTTGTTGTGGGGATTGTTTGGATTTTAAAAGTAGATGGCACATCGGGTCAGAATATCTAATTCCATTAAAGAAGACACCTTTATGGCCCAAAGTCCTTTTAAAACATTCATGAATATTTTGTTTGTATGAAGTAATGTTGTTTTAAAGTGAGAATGGTGAAACTATGTAAATTCAGGTCACTGGACACAGAGGGCTTGCTCATACCAGTAGGCTTTTTTTATATCCATTGATTCCCAGTTAACTCAAGATAGATAATGCGTTTGTAAAGTCACTCCACAATAGTTTGTTCCAGAATACAAATGTTTGTGGTTGAACCTAACCTGGGTCCTAGAGAGAGATCTTTGCTACAAAAACAATTTCAAATTCCACCTATCTAGAGGGTCTGCAATTTTTTCTTCATTCTACAATATACTCTTTTTTTTAAAAAATGCTTCTTTTTTCCATTGTTAACATAAAGCAATAACAGCTTGTATGCCAATGATAATCTTGCCTCCCACTAAACAAGAACAGCAGCAAAGGTAGGTATTGACCCCGTCCTTCACTTCACTTCTTTTTATTTTATGTTAAAAAGGGAAAATAAATTAAATGGGTAGAAAATACTTAAGTAATAATAAGATTGCACTGTTAAAACCAGGTAAGGAATAGCTAATGCTGCTATTGGTATTTTAACCTATTAGCTATGTCATGTTGAATATGTATTATTTTCTATACCTGTTTTACTGGTTATGCATACAGTTTAATTGTATTACTGATTGTCATTAACTGATACCATAAAATAGGATACGCAACTTAGAAATTTACATTTTCTCTTTTATGTCACTTTGTCTGCAACCTTAGTGTTGATTTAAGATTTTTTTTTTTCTTGCTCTTCCTCTTTCTTATAAAAATTTTTTTTAAAAAGCCTTCTTTGGTCTCCTATCTTTCCTGGCTATTTAGAATCCTTTGATATAGGTGTGAAGACAATCTAAAGTCTGCTTAGGAGAGAACAACTCCTCAGAACATGCTAGTCTGTGAGGAGTGCTTGGGGAAGAGGGGCTCAACTTCTTTCTGTAGTCATTGTGAGAACTAGAACTTCTTGTTCCTATCTTCAAGATGTTACCTCTCCTGTCTAGCATTCATCTGAACTAATTGATTGTCTGTCTGTCTGTCTCTCTCTCTGGAGGTCAGAATTTGATTCCCTAAATTGGCTAATAAAAGCAATTGCTATTAATGCTCTATTCCCCCATCCTCCTTCCCCCTATTGTATTCTACTCCCCTTAATGGATGTAGCAAATAAATCACCTGAGTAAGATCAAATAGGAGAATAGGTAAGGATAGAAATGGGGGGTATTAAGTTATATTTTTATAGAGTTCTGTGAAACTCACCCCTATTTATTTGTTTAAAGATAGCAAAAATCCTGAATGCTTACCTGTAGGTGTTTGTAGTTGTTATACCAGGAGTTTTATGGCTAGCTGGAACTGTAGGACTCTGTCTGGCAATTAATTGTCAACAGATGCATTACTGTGCAGGCTCAAAACATATATGTAGGATCAGGGCCTTTATTAGGAAATAGGAATAGCTAGCTACCTACTGTCTCAGTCAGGTTGCATTATATAGAATATGAATGTAAGACACAATCCCTCTCCCTTTGAAGTCTATAGCAAAACTCTAATTGACTTCAATGAGAGTAGAATCCCACTGTGAAATGTCAAGTTTGAAGAGCACAGGATCATTCACTGCCGGCAAAATAAGCATGTGGTGTATATACATCAGTAACTATAATGCAATGAGTAAATAATGAAAAAGCGGAGTGGGAAAACATTCACAGTTGGTCATATTTTCCCCTTTCCTCATATAGAGGGCATTGAACAGACCTGTTCTGTTAAGCACTCTTTTAAAATATTTGGAATTTCACTTTTAATTAATGTGGATAGGAAATATAATTTCAGAATTATAGGATCTAAATCACAAAGGAGATGGATCTTTAAAAAACAGACAAAAGAGCAACAGCACACACATGCTTTACTCAGTGTTTTCCGAAGCAATTTTTCCAATTGCTTAGAACTTTATTTTTGTTATTAATGGTTCCCTTAAATCAAAGTGTATGCTCAATGAGGGCTATATATATGCCAATTCTTGTAGCCCTGTTTAAAAACAGGTTAAAATATTACAGCGGGAAAACAATATTTTTCCCCATGATTCACCACAATTACAGGGATTTTGTTCAAACTGTCAACTTTCTGCACAGTCTGATCTGAGCATGGAAATCTTCAACTGGAAAGGTGAACATTTTATGAAGACCTGTGTATGTGAAAATGGATGTGTTATGGTAACAGTTTTGCAACCTTACCTATAGTGGGTAAAGCTGTCATTTTCAAGTATCCCTATTGCCTGATAAAGCTGTTAATCCACAAGAAAAAGAAATGCCTCTCTGCTAATGTGAATTTTCAACTATGTGGAATAATGGACTTGATTTGAAAGTCAGTGAAATTGTATGGCATGTGAGAAGAAACAGACTGAAGCTAAAGATAACAATGCTATGTAGACTTTCAGTGGCTGATGGTGATTTTGTATTCTGTGGGATTATATCCCTGTTTGGCCAGGAAGACTGATGCTGAAAGTGTATGAAGGAGGGTTAAGGCATATTTAGAGCACTCTGGAGATGTGGGTGAGATTCTTAATGCGGTGGAAAGAGGAATAATTCAGTGTATTTCTGCTAAACACAGCCATAGTTTCCATTTATGGATGTCAGTACATAGGCAATATGCTAGCTGCTCTGAACATGTACTGCTGAGTGTACTGCCAACACTGGGAATTCCGGACATCTTTTCCAGATAAGATAGGCATATGATGCAGAAAAACACAGTAGTTAAAGATGGAATGGATTTTTTTTTAAAAGAGGGTTACTTTTCATATGACACTTCCCCCTCCCCCCCCCCCCACCGCTCCTTGTATAGGATAAAATGGAAAGCATCCATGTTGTTTCCAGGACAGTGAATATGTACATAGTACTTTTGTAAATTGGAGAGCAGAAAATAAGAATCTCAGACAATTAATTCCCCTTTAGAAATCAGTCTTTCCAGCCCCTTTTTAAAAAAAACACACTTAATATTTTGTCTTCAAATAGTGTCTATATACTCTAAAATGTAACCCTGTTCTCCCTACTCCGACCCAAGCCCAGGCCCACACTTTGCCTGTGACTACATTTTAAACTCTGGAATCAAATATTTTTGCTAAAATCCTATCTCGTCCTTTTCTAGATGGAAATGGGGGACTGGAATTATTTAGATGCTTAAAAGTCAGCACGTTACCCAGTGAAGTACACCTCTACCCCGATATAACGCTGTCCTCGGGAGCCAAAAAATCTTACTGCATTATATCGAACTTGCTTTGATCTGCCAGAGTGCGCAGCCCTCCCCCCCCCCGAGCACTGCTTTACCGTGTAATATCCGAATTTGTTATATCAGGTCGGGTTATATCGGGGTAGAGGTGTACTTGTCTACTTAGCTCTAGAGATCTGAAAATTTCCAGAGCACTCTGTATCCTGTGGCAGTGCATTCATACACACACAATTTCAAAATATATTACCAGCGGTTATTAGAATGCTTTGTTCATCAAAGCTCTTTCAGATATGAAATTGACTGTTCTGTTTCAATAGGAATGGAATACATCACAATAGATTTCAGAATATCATTATGTACATCACTGTATAAAGGGGTCTTACCTCCAGGTTGGATGTAGAAGCAGTTAAGCTGAGTTTCGTGCACCAACTTGCCCTTGTACTTCATCTCAGGTTCACCTGGCAGAAGACTGGGTAGTGGGCGATATGCTGAAGTAGCTTGCCGAACAAAGGCTTGAAACATTTTATACTTCCAAAGGTAGCTTTGCACAGCTGAATCTAAATATTCTGTAAAAGTAGATTCCTGATTGTCAGTGGTTTCCTACTTGAGTATCATTTAAACCTAATAGCTACAAAACTTGCCTAGATGTTAAACCCCTGTCTTGCAAAAGCTCGTGTGACCAAAACCACAGAAACTATTTTCCAGCTATTTGAAACTTAAGCAACGTCTCTTGCATTATCTTTTCTTCCCTAGCTCTTTACTCCTAATCCTTTTCTTGTCCTGCGTGCCTGATGCTTGGTTAAAGCCCTCTCCTCCCCCAGTGGTTTTGCAGGAAAACTTAGATTGAGAAGTGAAGATAATGGGCTCCGTCCGCCTGTCAGCTCATCACCTCACTGAGTCATGGTGATCTCTGGTTTTTGTAAATCACCACTAACTTGTCTGATATCCTCTTGTGTTTGAAGAAAGATAGGTTTTGTCTAGGGGTGAGTGGACCTCAGGCCTGACATAGCCAGAAAACTTCTCCTGGAATGTGAGTTTGGTTTTTTTGTTTTGTTGGGTTTTTTTTTAAACATATAAACTTATGTTTGTAACCCTTTCTCAAAACAATAAAGATAAATAGGGAAGAGAGTGTAGCATGTGATGCATATACTGAATCATTCATGTGTGTAATTGATGTAATACAAGATGCTTGACACTCAATAGATCTGCCTTTGTCAGAGCAAACAGTGAAAATCAGCATTAAACCATATTTTCCATTAAAAACATGAAACCCAAGTATAGGATGGCATACCCTTTAAAGGACAAGGAATGTTTTCTATAATAAAACTCAGTTCAACTGTTCCAGTGTCATTCTACAAAGTTTGCAAATGTGGTTTTTAAAAACCTGAAAACTAGTAACTTAGTGTTGGGGCTCAATCATCCCTGTCTAGGATTATAAATACTATTAATGACCAGCATGGTTTAATTATTATAATTTCTCTGCAATTCAGAGTTTGTGTTAATCAGCAAATGAAAGTAAATTTAAAATATTACATCTGGTTAACTTCGTTCTAGCCAGGATATTGCCATCCTAGAAATATGCATTCCTGTTCTAAAATCTATAACTGTTATTTGCTGATATATTGCTTAAAATTATAATAAATCCTCTCTCCACCCATTCTTGTCATTATTTTACATATTTTTGCACTCCTATGCCTTTCTGAGCTTGTGATTCAGTGATATTGGGGTTATTTTTTATATGAATAACAACCAGAGTTAGCCAGGGTAGAAATTTGTAAAGGATATAAGCCTCGTGCTTCAGGCTCTCTATGGTTAAGCTCATCCATAATTGTCTGTTGTAGAGTTTCTTGAATCTTTTTCTGAAACATCTGGTAGTGTTCAGTGTCTGAGACAAGATATTGGACTAGCTGGACATGCTTTGGCAATTCATTTGCCTTTGTGTCAAACTTTGCAGAAAGTCAGTGTTCACATTCTTTGCTTAACAGGATGTGCTGTCAGCATATACTCCACACAATAACTTATATCTCAACACATCTTTCAATGTGGGGGGGCGGGAAACTTGGGGGGAAAATGAAAATTTAGAACAAATAAAGCCATCAGGGTGTGTAGCTCCATGTGACTAGGTTGAGGTGTTATAAACCTTCCAGGAATGTTTTAATTGGGTTCTTTTTTTCTCTCTCTTTGGTTGGCTCATCTCTTTTTCTTTTTTGGTTTCTATCACATGAACATTTTGTACATCTCACCACACAGAAAATAAAAATCTTCCATAATGCCCTAGAAGAGCTTCTTGTCACTGAAAGATGCAGTGCTGGGATTTAAGTTTCCATAGGCCAAGAGTTGAGGCATTTTTGTATTTTGAATTCATGCCTTTCAGAAGTTGGGGTTCAAGTTTGTAATCAACATATGATTTCCTTAAAATAGGTTCAGCAGACATTAAATTGTCAGTGATTCAGCCACTTTTGCTTCCTTGCTTGAGAGAGCTGAAAGGTCCAGGTGCAAGATTATAGGAGGCAAAGTAGAAAAACAAATGTAGGAAGTAATAGTTCTTGATCAAGAGACAGCCACACATGCAGATTCTTGAGAAATCAAATTACTTACCCTGAAACTATCTTTGAGGGAATTTCCAGTTTGTGCAGAGTTGATGGAAGTATAGCACCAGGAGGTGGGGGTGGATGAGAGAAAGGAAGACAAAGGATGTTGAAGTGTTTCTTTCCCAAAAAATTGTTTGCACTGAAAAAACAGGTTTGTTTTCCCAATATAATTGAAAAGGCACATTTGTTTTCTGGGAGAACCTGTTTTTCCATTCCTCTGCAGATTTTGTAAAATGTGAACCTCCTGATTTGCAGATCCAAGTTCTTATTTAACACACAACTATATTCTATCTTTGGGGGTCAAGAATCCCATTTTCAACTGGGTTGCCTTCCTGCCCTCAGCATTTAAAAAGTGTCTGGCTATTACACCAACAGGAAATTGATGAGCCTGTATGTTCTGCTGAACTAACCTGTTAAACTGAAGGTTTGAAATAGAGAATATGCTACATATTTCTTTTTTAAATCACATTGGTGAAAAACTTGATTTCAAAGCTAAAAGCATAGTGAGTAGCCATACAGACTACTCCACTAAACAATTGTCTTGTTTGAAAAGTCAATCAATCTGCCCGTTTTACAGTAATCTAAACCTTAATTTAAAACACAAACCAAAATTGATAAAATAGAATATATAAATACCCTAAAACCAAAAAAACCCTTAATCAATTAACAAAAGGGGAAAAACAACATCATTCAAAGTATAATCACACTTACTAAAATTCAGGAGTTATAGAAAGGGGGAATTTTAATATCCTGTAGGTTTTCCAGCATTTGAAAATGTATTCGCCATATGCATATGAAAAGGGGATGAAGCTGCCACAAGGTGTCTAAGCTTGTCTTGTAAACACAGTGTGAACTTATCTATGACTAGAATAAACCAAATCCTGTTTACTCCTTTTTTTTTTTCCCTGAGGGAGGCAAGACTGCTTTTTCCCTTCTAAAATCATATTTCTCATTTTCCACTGGAAACTCTATCTGTGGGCAGATTTCTGCATTATTGAAGATAAATAATAGTGAAGTATGGCAGAAGAGAGGGCTGCAGAGGATTCAGTAGAAAATTTCTCTTTTTTCATGTATTACAAAATTTTAAAAGGCCAAGACAAATTGATAAAAGCACAGTCAAAGGGTGTGATGTAAAGATGAACTGCAAAGCTAAAGTGAAAATTGAGCTAAAGGGACACTGGCAACCTGAAATTGCACAATTGCAAAAAGAGTTTAAAGTAGTTTCAGATGCTACACCAGCTTCTGAGTCCCCAGCCAATTTTTATGGCTTTACAATGATAGCTTCCCATTTTTTAAAATGTTTTTCTTACTGCAGTTACTACATGAAAGATCCATCCAAACATAGGAAACTGAAGAAACTGTGAAATTGACCATGCACAAAGTGTTGTCAAATGCACAGAGTAAACAAATGGAAAAAATACAGGGGAAAAAGTTAAGGTAATCTTTACACATTACTCATAACAATAGGTACAAATTTGAGAAAAGTTGGATTTTTGTGCTTGATGGTGTTCCTTTAAGCCCAGAACTGCAAATACGCTTCCATTAACTAAGATCTAGAGAAATTCAGTGCAGAAATAAGCTAAAATGGATCATTTTAGGCAGAGCTGGAAGCAACATCTGTAGTTAAGGTTGCTTAACACTTTCCATTATAAGCCCTTCTTTTCAAATGCTTATAATTTAATTTTTCCAAACTTTTAACCATTTGGGCTGAAAGCTTCCATGTTTGCTCGCTGCCCCAGGCTGGTTTTGTTCACTTGTTTGTTTTGTTTAATTTCAGCAAAAATTGTTCATCTATTTCTGAGAATGAGGTTAGGGGAAAATAGGTAGTTTTACAAATGTTAAATTATTTTCGTTTCTTTGAAGATCTCTAGCACCTCTGGAGTTTGGAGCAGGAACTTGACACTTAGCAGGAGGGTAGCAGGATCGAAGAGGTGCTTTTTGAGGTCCCCAGAAATATACACCCAGATTTTGGCTGAGTTATAAACCTCTGAAAAGTGCTACAATAGATCTTGGTAGAGGCTTTTGGGGAGACATTGTAGGAGCAGCTGCCACTTCTTTAGCTTAGGGGAAGGTAGAGTGGAAATAATGAAGGCATTAGGGGAAGGGGAAGTGCAGCTCTCGTTCCTTGTCTGCTAAAAGCAACATGACAGCTCCCTCTCATCTGCCCAGTTTGGGAGAGCAATGCTTTTTTTATGCTTTCCCTCTTCCTTGTCTACTATTGCAGTGAGATCCTCTTTCTGTTTGTCTACTTTTATCACTGAGATAAGGTGGGCTGAGAGCCAGAAAAAGACCAGGTGTTCTAGTTTCATCTCTTCCACTGGCTGGTGTTAATAATCATGTGCACTTTCTAGCCCTTTTAATTGAGCAAGGTCTCCTACTCCTACCTTAGGGCTGGTCCACACTAACCCCCCAGTTCGAACTAAGATACACAACTTCAGCTACGTGAATAACGTAGCTGAAGTTGAAGTACCTTAATTCGAAATACAAGGTACTTACCACAGGTCCATACGCGGCAGGCAGGCTCCCCCGTCGACGGCGCGTACTCCTCTCGCAGAGCAGGAGTACCGGTGTCGACGGCGAGCACTTCCGGGATCGATTTATCGCGTCTAGACAAGACGCGATAAATCGATCCCAGAAGATCGATTGCTTACCGCCGAACCCGGAGGTAAGTATAGACGTACCCTTAGAATGCAAATATCACTCCCCATTTTACAGATTTTGTAACTGAGGTAGTAATAGGTGAATTATGGCACAGCTGGGAATAGAGACCGGGACCAGATTATGTGCTATGCCTGTAGCTCAGGATGAGGAGGAAAAAGTGACTCTAAGCCACCTTTTTGCCTCCCAGAGTCTGTTATGCCTATTGACTATTTTACTGCCAGATTTTTGTGGTTATAGATTTCTACGTTACGGTCAGATCATTTGTTGTAAATGAGGGCCTTGCCTCCCATCTTTGGTTTTGATAGTGTGCCCTGAGAAGTTTATGGAGACAACTGCATTCCAGATCTTTATGAGGAATAATGCAGATTACCTTTGAAGCCCTCTACTGATGGAATATTATGAGAAGGACAGTCTTGTAGTTGAGACTCAGAAGATCTGGGTTTAATTTCCAGATCTGTCACAAACTTCCTAATGTTACCTTGAGCAAGTCACTTAATCTCTGTCTCAGTTCCCCATCTATAAAATGGGGATCATATCTCCTTTCATCTACCTTTTGTCAATCTTGAGTAGAAACCAACTTTTACTATGTATTTGTTCAGTGCCTGCACAGTGGGGCTCCAGTCTTACTTGGGGCCT